CAGAACTAGTTTCGATTACTGTTCGTTCGACAGCTGACATATTTCCGAGCGTATTTCTGTCATTCAAATGTTTTTAATAAAATTGCAAAGTTTTTCGTAGTCAGCCTAAAACTGTACCTCTAATCTGTTTGTCGGAGAAACCAAAATATTGAGAAAGAGGTGCAAATGGGTTTCCAGGTGACACAGTTTAGGGGAACCCAATTTGCAAATACGTATGAAATTGGCACATTTGATATATGAATGTTGATGAGATGTCAACAGTTTTTCCTATCTAAAAAATATAAGAAATATACTATTGCCAACAAATAAACTAAATGTGTTAATAACAACTACGTGATGGGCATACAAATCAATTTCAATTAGAACTTTGACCAAATTCAAAAGCCATACTTGAAAACGCGAACCCACACACGCACACGCATCTCATACGCGTGTAATTTTTGGCGTGCGACATTTTTTGTTTTTGTGCATTTGATGTTGTGACACGTCGCTCGCATTACGCTGGCGGAAATGTTGTTACGATCTAGAGATTTAGAGATTTGCTTAAGCGATTTTGGCGCGCAACAACRCACACACACTTGTGTTCATAGCCGCGTAGATGCACTACTTGCGCATACAGTGCTTTCGGTTGCCGTCTTACGTTTTTAATGCCTAATGGCTGCTCACTCCTGCAAATGAATTAATAACTAAATTTACTAGATGCGAACAAAATCAAAGCAAGCATACCGAACTCGAAGAATAAAAGGAATAATTGCACAAGATTTGCCAGAGCCAAAACGTTTCGGCAACGCCCGACTGCGACTGCGACTGTGTCTGGCAGTACGGCGGCTGCTGGTGCTCTCATTTGGGCCGCGTCGGTCGGCATATCACAATGTACAATCAAGCGCCGCGGCCATTTGCCATTCACTTTTGTCGCACTTTTAGTTGTTTGGTCGTGGTTTTGTTCTGCGTCTGCGTCCGCCGCTGCCGCTGCTGCTGTGGCTGCGCGGCTTTTGCCGTTGCCAGCTGCCTGTTGTCTGCCGCTCGGTACTCTAGTGCTCTGGTGTGACCAAATTGGCACATTATTAAAAATGCATCAATTAGGCATCGATTGTATAACCTGTTCGCAGAATAGTTTACCCAGTCGCCAAGGCATGGACGTGGTCACTTATATGCTTGGGTGCACGCATTGTCACAAGTCACTTTATTGCGTTTGATGCTATTTTCAATGGGTTTATTTTAGCAAACCTGCTACCCAATTTAATGATTTATGGCTGGCAATGGAAGCGAATTCAAAAAGAAGGAATTATGTCAGTAAACGAAGCTTTACATAAATATGCATTATATTTATATAATTGCTGCGTAAATCGCTAGCTAATTTGCGTAACTGTAAGGCTTTAGAAAACAGTGATGTTGTGTGTATGACTGTAGAACATATTAATTGTTCTCCTATTATCAGCAAAATTTACAGATTTTTCATAGACGTTATTGCTGCTGCATTCCCTTGCAAATATTGGCCACCGCAAAGCACTGTCCATCCTCTGTAATGATTTTTAGGCTTAAAAGTGAACTCAAACTTACAATTTTTGAACCTAGCTTTAGGGTTGAATTAAACAGAAAAAACCTGCTAAAATATTTCTTTAAATATTTGCACAAAAATGTTTGCAAACTTAACTTTGTTTAAAATTCGTCTGCGAATTCTTCCTCATTGTTCTTTAACACAATTTCTACGACACCAGATATCGGTTGAATACCTCAGATTCATTAGTTTGTTAAATAGTTTTACGCGCGTTTTCAGTCTTCCTTATTCTAAATTGCTTTAACTTTATTTTTATTTCGGTGCTTGGCATTTTCTATGCTCAACATGACTCGCTTGTGAGCCTCTTTTTTAATATGCAACTCATTGCGAAGCTTTCCATTTTTCACTACGCCAATCAAAATCGCTTGCGATAAAAAGGCCAAAAATAGTCTTTTAAATGGCTAAGTTGAACTCACCAAATTTCAGCGTTTGAATGAAATTAGTTCGTTATCGTGGCGATCGCAATTTTTATTTCACATTTTGGGCAATTTCTAGCGTTGAATGGAATGCATGCTGCATACATATTTATATATGAATTTTTATGTGTGTATGTATATATGTAGGTTCGTGCATTCATGCAGATTTACGATGTATTTATTTTATAGCAAAGCACTTCCAGCGCGGAGGCAATGAAAAAATTAAATACAAATAAAACCCTTTAATTTTTTTTAATGTTTTTTTTTTTTTATTATTACTTGCATTGCATTGCAATTATTGCTATGCGTTGGCGCTTGCGCTGCCGATTCCAACAAATAGATGTCTTTTCCCATGTCACCGCATTACTGCAGCCACCACCGCGCAGGCCTTTGGAGTAGGTGGCTCACAAGCCACGTGCGTGAGTGTCGCATAGTTTACTAACTCACCAGCCGATGCCATGAAAGCGCAATGGCATGTAAATGTGTGTATGTGCATGTGTATGTGCTATAAATATTGAAATGTATGTATTCACGCGTTTGCCTTGCTGACTTACCCGATTTACGTGCCCAGAATTCACCAGCAGAATTTCAAAATGCTTTTAGTTGGTCATTGGTAGTTGAGTTCGTGTTTGGCTTCTTGAATTAACGCCACCCGCCCTTCGTGTACGAGGTATGGGTTGCATTGAAGAGGTCATATGTTCGCTAAAATCAAAAAAAAAAAAAATTAAATTATAATAATAATAAAAAATAAAAACAAAAGCCAAAACAAAAAATTGTAGAGCAGTTTTTAGTACAAACCGCAACACCTCTAGTTTCGAGACTGAGTGTGGAAGAGCGCGCTGCCGCTACAATGCAAATATTCAAATTTTTGGAAATCGTCTTCTTCTCTTTTTCGAGAGCTGGGGTCTCATCGCGCGTGCGCTTCATTTGGAATTTTTGGAAGTATAAAAAGCGTCGCGATTTTGGAAAAAGTATGTCAGTTTTGTTTTAATCAACCGACAGTGAGAATCTAATCAGCTTAAGCACACAATGAGTCCATTCGTTGTAAGTATTTTGAGCTCCTGCGACAATCACCACAGCCTTCGTAACGTACTCTATACGAAGGCAACGGATGCTTGGATTACGCATTTGTACGAAGAGTAAGCGATGCAGTTCGGAGCCTCCACATTCTCCAAGTACCGTCGTAGTCGGTGTCCAAGCGTCCGTTGGATTAAACACACACGCTCACACATTTTAAATACATATTCTTACTTTGCCTTACAGTTTGCCGCTGTTCTATCTACCTTGGCGCTCTCTGCCAACGCTGGTATCATTACCGCACCTGCGCCTTTGGCGTACGCCGCTGCTCCAGCACCTCTAGCCTACGCTTCTGGCCCCATCTATGCTCGTTACGCTGCCCCCGCTCCATTGGTTGCCGCCGCTCCAGCTCCATTGGCTGCTGCCGCACCCATTGTGAAACCAGTTGTTGCCAGAGCATACGCCGCCGCCCCAGCACCACTCCTTGCCCCAAGAGCTTTGGCAGCACCAATTGCCGCTCCATTGGCCGCCCCAGCACCACTTGTTGGCGCTCCAGCTCCCGTTGTTGCCGCCCAAGCACCCGTAGTTGCCGCTAGAGCTTTGGCCGCACCAGTCGCCGCTCCAGTTGCTGTCGCCTCCGACATTGTTGACCCACACCCACAATACACCTACGCTTACAATGTACAAGATGCTTTGACCGGTGACTCCAAGACTCAAGAGGAGACCCGCGATGGTGATATCGTTCGTGGCTCATACTCGCTCATCGAACCCGACGGTTCCCGTCGTATTGTCAACTACTACGCTGATCCCATCAACGGTTTCAACGCTGTCGTCCAAAAGGATGTGCCAGTTGCCGCTGTTGCTCCCGTCGTCGCCGCCAAAGCTGTTGCTGCCCCACTTGTGGCCGCTCCAGCACCAGTCGTTGCCGCCAAGACCCTTGCGGCTCCAATTGTTGTCTAAACAAAAGGAAACTGCTTGGAAGATTGACCATTGACCCCGTAGATAACCCACGTACCGACACACTCTTGTCCGAAATGTCAGCTATTTGTTGAGTTGCTTGCCTTGCCGACTGACTTGGGAGCGCTGTGCGCGTCAACTATTGGTAGAACAATGCAATTCAACGGGGGACATCCATTTGTAAATAAACTAGAAAAACTCATTGTCTTTGTTGAAAACTTTCATCGTTAATAAAAAAAAAACTGTTAAAACAAAAAATTTATTTATCCTTTATTTGATATTTGAAAAGGTTGAATAGACTAATGGAAATATAAAACTTGTGACTTACATATGTCAAGCTTCGCATGAGTTCTCTCTGTTTCCCAACTTCGAATACTGTGCTATGTGAGTTCTCACGGCTTTCGTAGTATTGGTTCTCAAGATCTTAGGTTTCATAATCTTTCAAATTTCCTCCAAAAAGAGACTTCGAATTTCGTCCAAAGTTTGTTTTCAAATGACTCTTGCAAAATTTGTCGTACTTTAGTAATAGATTTAGTCTCATTATCCAAGAAGACATATTAGAAACCGGTGCTTCTAGAGAAGAGGCACGTTATTTTTCGTTTTTTCCCGACCTGAAATTTAGACAACTGGACTAAATGTTGTTGTTGCTATAATGGGTACCTTGTCCTCGTTGGATTTGGTAAGGGTTAGCCAGGTGGTTTTCGACGTCATCTAAAGGAAGGCCCAAGAAACGTGCTGCATGACGGATTCGGACCAAAGGCGGAGAGGTGTTACATGAGTGTCCACACGACCCTGGAGGAAATATTTAACACCACGGTAAAACAGATTTATAGAAAGAATTCCTAGAATCCAAAATCAAGCAAATTTTTTTTTTTAATTATAGCTCTACAATCTTTAGACATTTAAAAATATATGTACACCCCTTACCCCGTATTGCAAATTTTGTTCATGCGTGCTAGCAATCATAAAGTGAAATCGAATATATAAATCTGTAAAAGTTCTAAATACTTATATGGGAACCTCCAACCTAATCGAATCACTCTTTTTTCCAGTAATTCGCCGGAAGAATTTTGGATGCTCTCCAATCATGAGAATGTCGCGCGCATGCGTCTCAAACTCGAGCCGCAATTGTATCCGAACAAGCACGAGAATGCGGCGAATTTACGTGATAATGCCACAAATGCCTATGATCCAAGGTAGGGCTTAGGAAATATTATACATATTTCAAAGGTTATTCTTAAAAAAATATTGAAAATTTAGAGAAATCTCGGAATTCGACTCGACAATTAAGAGTGCCGTTGTACGTGACTTCTTAGCAGACGATGAGAATCTACAACTTGAAGAGGAGCTGCGTCAATCGATTGAAGCGCAATCGCAGCAAGATGTGCCACTGGAAAAATCAGTCATTTCACAAGACTGTGAACTGATTACATTGATGACGAAGGTGAAAGGTAAAATCGAGGTGAATCAAACGCTATTTACCTTCATCGATTTGAGTCCGCCTTCGGAAGATGGCTCCAAACACGATTTTCGGTGAGTAGTGTTAAAACAGGTTCGATTTGAAAAATAATTTTAAAATTTATTATATTAAATTTTTGCTTCGAAAAGCTTTCCAATCAGCAAAATACGTGAGGTACATTTGCGCAAATTCAATTTGCGGCGCAGCGCTTTGGAAATATTTTTAATCGATCAAACTAGTTATTTTCTCAATTTTACTACAAAGGTGAGTTCGATTGTTATTATATACGTATATATATATTCTTATACCCTCAACAAGGTATATCAAGTTTGGATACCCTATAAAGTATATATATAAATGATCAGTATGTTAGCCGTGTCCGTCTGTATATATACGAACTAGTCCATCAGTTTTAAGATATCGTTTAACAATTTTGCAAACTTCATTTCAAATTGTTGTATGGAAAACTTTCACATTTGACAGTGTATCTTCACAAAAGTTAGCACAGGTTATTTTCTAAGATAATAATGTAATCTCCGAAAAAATTGTTCAGATCGGCTCACTATAACATATAGCTGCCATACAAAACGAACGATCGAATTCAAGGGCTTGTATGGAAAACTCTCGCATTTGACGTGGTATCTTCTTGAAATTTGACATGGTTTACTGCTTTAGGTAATAATATAATCCCCCAAAAAATTGTTCAGATCGGCTCTCTATAGCATATAGCTGCCATTCAATCTGAACACATAGTTACTAAGAGAAATGCTTCTGAGAAGGATATATTAGCTTCGATGCAGCCGAAGTTAACGTTTTTTCTTGTTTTAAGTGTGTTTTGTATTTCCATTCGTTTAATATTGTCGGAATCAAAATTAAACGATTTCATATCCGATTCGAAGTACACAAAAGGCTACCAAAGGTAGAATTGAAAAATTTTGCAATTTATTTCTTTAATTTATTTGTAGACACGCAACAAAGTTTTTACGAAAATTTTGAGCCTCCAACCGCCAAACATTTTATATGGCTCCGGCCGCTCTCCAGGAGAACTACTGCGCGCTTCGGGACTTACGCAGAAGTGGGTAAATCGTGAGATTTCCAATTTCGAATATCTTATGTACTTGAACACAATTGCTGGTAAGTCAAGTCAGTGCTTTGATTGAACGAGTTTGACGTTATATATATGTATATTTGAGAGGATTGCCCAAATTGAAGTCGATTCGACAAAAATATTTAGGTATATGTAAGATTGAGTTAAACAGCGTTTCTAGACAACGAAAAGGGGTTTTGAGAGCCGACTCTAAAACCCGCCTATCAGTCAAATTTCCGTTCCCATGATAGTTGGTTCTACGTAACCGGAACGAACCCGGATTTTTATCAGGTCAAGGAACGTGAACTCGGCAGAGTTCTATAGCTACTACAACAACAATCAATCAAGTCTTTAAACGCGGTTTTTGCACGAAACCCTGTTTTCAGAGCCGATAAGGAAATTTTTTCCGAGTAGTCTGGACCAATCGGCTTAAAGTTCTTCTTCTAAAATATATTTGACGCTTTTTGTCCTTTAAAATTTTGAGTGCAGATTACCAAGCCGATCGGTTCAGCCGACGCTGAAAGTAGCTGACTAATCAAATTTCCGTTCCCACTACTGTCGGTTCTAAGTAACTGAATTCGGCAGAAATCTGCCGCTACAACAACAACAACAAATGAAATCTTTAAATTGTTGTTTTTCGTGAAACCCTGTTTTCAGAGCCGGTAAGGAAATTTTCTCCGAATCCTCTGGACCAATCGGGTTAAAGTTTTCACACCACCTTCTTAAACATTTTTGACGCCATTTTTTCAAAAATCAATTATTATTTTTGAAATCACTTTTTACAATACTAAGTACAGTTACATAGCTTATTATTTGTTTTCATTCCTTTCTAGGCCGTTCCTACAATGACCTCAGTCAGTACCCAGTATTTCCTTGGATATTGTCGGATTATACCAGCGATGTTTTAGACTTAACCGATCCAAAATCTTTTCGCGATCTTTCCAAGCCTGTTGGCGTGGTAAGCTACTTTGAAAACGCATTATATTTCACATCTCTTATACACTTATAACTCACACAAACTTTAGATCAATCCTAAAAATGAGGCTGGTGTGCGCATCAAATACGAGTCCTTCGAAGACCCCTCGGGTGCGATACCGAAATTCCATTACGGCACACATTACTCAAATTCTGGCGGTGTTTTGCATTATTTGCTGCGCGTGGAACCATTTACGTCGCTACACATTGAGTTGCAAAGTGGACGCTTCGATGTGGCCGATCGGCAATTCCACTCGATACCACAAACGTGGAAATTGTTAATGGACAATCCGAACGATGTGAAGGAGCTGATACCAGAATTCTTTTATTTTCCCGAATTTCTGAAAAATAAGAACAAGTATTTATATTTTGAAATATGCAACTATAATTGCATTATAAAAATAATTTGCCAACTTTAGATTTGATTTGGGTCACTTGCAAATAACAAAAGAAAAAGTGGATGACGTCATACTGCCAACATGGGCCAACACACCAGAGGAGTTTATAGCTATACACCGACGTGCTTTAGAATCGGAATATGTCAGTCAAAATCTGCATCATTGGATCGATTTGATATTCGGGTGAGTACTTCCATGACAAAACGTTTCCCTGCAGTATATTAAGTCTCACACCCTTATTATTTTAACACAGCTACAAACAGAAAGGCCCCAAAGCTGTCGAAGCGCTCAACGTTTTTTACTATTGTTCATATGAAGGTGCTGTCGATTTGGATAAAATCACCAATCCCGTTGAACGTGAAGCTGTTGAAGGTATGATCAACAACTTCGGTCAAGTGCCATCACAATTATTGCGTGAACCACATCCGCGTCGTTTGACACAAGAGGAGACGGCACTCAAACTGGTGCGCGCCGAATTGAAACGACCGGATCTTACGCAATTTCTCGATAAGATTGTGCAATATTATTGCGAGCTGTCAACGCCAAAAGATCCAATTGTCTTCCTGAGCGCACCGCGCAGTCCGCCGCGCTCATTTCTACAACTCAGTCCGGATGTGCTTGTCAGCATATCAAAATCATGTATACTTGGTGCTAATTCATGGATGTCCTATGATAAGGATCGAGGATTTCTGCTGGAAATCGATGCAACAACTACGAATTTGAAGTAAGTAAAGGTGAAATATAATAATATCATAAAAACTTTCCAAAGAACTCGAATGATGTTATGAGCAAACCATTTTCCTTAATCTGAAAAGTATTTAAAGCTCTATTTGTTTGGTTATTTATAACTTTTTATTCTGCTAGAAATCGCAAACGCATCTTTGGCCCCTTCCATCCCTCACAAAATCCACACTCACAACTGTACGCCGTGAGCACAGATGGTAAGCTTTTGTATGCCGGCGGCATCTGGGATAACTCGCTGCGTGTCTATAATTTACATAAGGGAAAAACCGTAGCCTCTGTAACGCGTCACTTAGGTTTGTTAACGAAGTTTACACCCCTTTGTCCTTTTAAGCAGTCGAAATATTTTTGCATTTCTATTAGACATAATCACCTGCCTGGCGTTGGACAACTGCGGCTCTTACTTAGTGACCGGTTCTCGTGATTGTACCTGCATCGTTTGGAGCATACAGACGCAACAGTACGGCAATGTGCCGGCCAGCACAAACATTCCAATGCATGCGCTTACTGGGCAGGCCCATTTGCAGGCGATAACTCAGCTGAATACGCAGAATGCCTTCTCGCCCAAACCATTGACCACACTCTACGGTCACGATGATGCCATTTCGAGTGTCGCCATTTATACTGAATTGGATATGGTCGTTTCGGGTTCACTGGTAATTTACCTAAATTTACCGTAATTTGATTTTTGATTGTATTCTAATTTTATTTGTATGCATTTTATGTTTTAGGACGGCACTGTGAACGTGTATACCATACAGGATGGCCAATTTGTGCGCACACTAAAACCAATCGGCTGTACTGAGACCTGCGTACAAATCTCATTCGTTACTGTTTCATATCATGGTAAGTGATGCATAAATTTGTTTAATTACTAAATTAATTTTGAGCTCACTTTTTTGTGTTTGCATATTTGTTTATTTGTATCTAAAAATTGTATGTGGTAATTTTTTCCACGTAGCGATTGTATGCATCACAACTAATATAGCCTGAAAGTAGGCTACAATAATGTTAAGTAATCTGAGCAGTCATAGCCGAGAATGTATTGAGCATACCATTAACAGAGTTGTTAGAAAATGTTAATAAGATTTTTTGTTTGCATTGCATTGACATGTTAACCCCACCAGCAGGCAATGTTCAGGAAATTTTTTGGGTTTTAACAAATGTATAATTGTTGAAAAAATTATTTCAGCTAGCTATTCGAAATTTCATGTTTCATGAATAAGTAATTTTTGACTCCCAATTACTTCTTTTTTACAAGCATAAGCTCATCAATTATTGCGCTCAAATTTCGGGCCTTTTTTTTTTTTTTTTTTTTTTTTTTTTTTTTTTTTTTTTTTTTTTTTTTTTTTTTTTTTTTTTTTTTTTTTTTTTTTTTTTTTTTTTTTTNTTGTTTTTTTTTTGTTTTTTTTTTTTTTTGAGGATGGATTGCTGATTTCTCGTGTGGCCGCGAATATTTCCACTTGGACAGCTAGAGGCATCTATCCGTTGTGATGCCACATCTAATAGGGTTACATCAATAAGATCCTCGCATATCGATCAAACGCCTGGAGCCCGTCAAGCTGTTATTATCAATTCCAGCCAATCAGCATTAGTCTGACCAAAGCTGAATAGTGAAAGAGAAATTGTCTATATGCGTTCTCCAAAGTATTTAGACTCACCCCGTAAGTGTCAAAGGGATAGTATCTAGTTAGGGCATCATTATCATGTGAACCTTGTTAAGAGCTAGTAGTTCAATAAGCCTATTACGTTCCACTCTGGGTCAGATGCTTTAGCACCTCTACAAATACAGTTTGCTGTCCGAAGCTTGGTGAGCTCATGTGAGGTCCATAAATCCAGCACCCGAACTCCTGCTCGTACTCATCTTGATGGACATTGGGTAAGGTCGCCTTGTTGCAATGTCATTAGTTTTAAACGGTTTGCCGATGATTACGCCGTGGCCAGGAGGAATTGCACTCCTTTACTAGCTGTGTGCTCACTGTCTGCGAGCTCGAGGGCTGCATAGCGACTCTGTTATCGGAGCCTACAAAGAGCTCTATATCGGAGAATTACATCTGTTGCTTACATGGTGGCGGTAACTTCAGCGTGAAAGCCGCTTACGTGGTCTAACAGTCAGAAACGAATGTTGATTGAGATTTTCCGACAGAAGACTGTTCTCCAACCTTCCCCTTGAGTTTCGATCCGTCCATGAGAATGCTCTCTGCAACTCCACCGCGACCACATATGTATTTATCGGAGGTATTTGTGCGGAAAAGATGCTGCTAGGAATAGCACGTGAAGATTTCATAATGTCCCTCTCTGGGATCCTTAATGTGATCAGTTTCCCGATGGTGCTGTATGAAAAGCTAAATTAGTGGCGTGAACTGTCAGCAAAATGCCGGGTTAGGGGCTAGACTTAGACTTCGACTCTTATAAACCAACTTTATTTGGATTAAGTGCTTACACAGTGATATCTATAATATATATAATGCAAGGCAGAAATGATTTTTTTTTCAATTATTATATAATTACGAAACAATGCTAAAATACTTATCAAAGACAAATATTTCGTCTCGAATTATCTAAGCTCTAACAACTACAATAATCATTTGCATATTCCACGGCTTTGTTTAAAGTGATTAAATTATTTGAAATCAGATTAAATTTATTATACGCAAATTGCCGTTAACATACATTAACGCCATAATGCACACTCGGATGTATGTATATGTATGTGTGCATGTGCAACATTTACACACGTTACTTATATATTTTTTGCGCTATCAGCATTCAATTTAGTCAAGAACGTAGGCACATATGCTCTAAAGTCCATGAACAGCTGCAGCTAACATATCTCTACTAGTATTTAGTCAATGACCTACGACAACATTTTCATAGTTTGCCTCAATTTCCATTGCCTGCGAACATACATACACACCTTCATACCTACATACATACAGACATGAAAGGAAAACGGTGCAGAGCATTTGAAATCAGTAATTGCATACGCTCTTATCATGCTAAGCTAACAACTACTGCTCGTTTATGATTCGAAATTGTCTAGTTATAACGATGTAGGTGCATGTATGGCGTACATACATACTCACAAACATATAACATACATATGTTTGTATGTATATACTTACAAGTATATGCATTTTGCACACATGAACCGTTCTGAGATCAAAAAGGCGTTATACAAATCGTGAACATAGTACATCACGTGATGGTGTTATCTCGTGTCTAGAGCCCATAAGTGTACACGTAATGAGAACCATAATGCTTAAATTCATACATACATATGTGCATGCCAACATTTGGCTGCTTCCACACGTTTATGCATACGTTTACTCTGAACGGTGTTATCAGCGAGGAAATTGGATTAGTAAAACCCAACCCATTGTAAATATGTACATAGTATTGTATGTATTAGGCACACATTTTTTAGCTAGGGGAATATGTAGCAATAGTATCAGACCAAATATTTATATAAAGCATTGGCCCATTAATCATTTGTGGTCGAAGAAATGTCAACAATATTGATAATTATAATTTTTTTTTTTTTTGACTGTAACTATGACTAAGTATGGTTTCCAGCAACATCTCTGTCACTCACTTCCGGTAGTACTTTAGAAGCTGCTCATACATTATGATGAAATTGGGTAATGCGTAATTGTTTTTTGAAAACAAAAAAAGTCATAATAGCTTGAAAAACATTAGGAAAGGGTAGATAAAAAATGTATGAAAATAAAATTTAAGAGCTATCGTTGAAATCTATCGTTGATTTCTGATATTAGAAGAAAATATACGGTAGTATCATAGGTTTTCTGAAAAAATAAAAATTAAGAATTTACCAAATTAATCAACGCCTCTTTTTTTTTATTTATCTACCACATAATTCGTAATACCAGCTCCATCGGACTCGGAAATCGAGATACAACGTATTTAATCCTTAAAAAATCAACCAACTCTCTCCCCTTCCTCTTTTCTTCAGATCGACCGTTAATTATTTTTCCTTTAATTTTTCTTATTTTGTCTGGGTTTCATCTTATTTAATGATTTTTTACGCTTTTTACCATTTTCAAACACTTCAACACTAAATTTTAACCCAAAATCTATTTTTGATTTTAAAAATTCATTGAAATTATATTATATCAAATAGATATATGTATAACGATTAAATTAGTAAGAAGAAAGTTTTCTTTAATTGTAAAAAATTTAAAGATAATAAAGATAGTTTTTTTTTTTTAAGATTTTAAGAATTTTAAAGATAAGATAATATTAAAATAATTATAAAAGAAATTTCGTGAAATTCCAGCATTTTAATGTTACGTATACGCATGCTCAACCCTGTGTACACTGCAAACACAACACGTAACATTTAACTTATTGAATTTGGGCTCTAAAATATTATAAATATACAAATATTTAATACATTCCGTCAATAACGCTAATCACGAGCACTCTTCCATAGCATATATTTGTATTACAGCTTGCTTGTAACGATGACTACACATTTTTTGAGCTAAAGTTCTCGTGACCGTCTTAAAAATTACTAATCCTTCTTAATATTCCCAATTGTGGGCATTTCTTTGTGATTTAATGATGACATACTCTAAAATGATAATAATTAATATAAATCAATTTGAAAGAAAAATTTCACCATGAACTCATAGAGTAAGCGCCCATCTACGCTTATCACTTAACGAATAATTATTCATTATTAATTACGGAAATTCTATGAAATCATCATTAATGGCAGGAAATTTACGCAGATCATTGGAATTGAACGAAAAAATCCCTGGAAATGTGAATGACTTATAACTAAGTGCAGTGAATAGTTTCAAATTCTTTTAGATACTTTATTTCCTATTAGTATTATTGCATATGTATTATACTCGAAACTGAAATTTTAAATATGTTTTTCTTTAATTTTATCAAGACTTACCATGAGTCAATGAAGTCCCTCATCTTGACAAACTTTTGTGTCAAACTTATGACTTGTCTTACTTGTAACTAGTCTACTTGCTTCTCAATTCTTCAGCAATGTATTAACCTACAGTATCTGTAAATGAGAGTTATTATTACTAAATTTTTTACCTTTTACAAGGTGCTTTCCAAAGTAAACAGAACTTTAAAAAAACAACAAAACAAATGGTTTTTTCGGCAAAATCAATTTATTTTACTCAAAATAGTCTCCCTCTGCTTCAATGTAGCTTTTTACACGGTCCAAAAGCATGTCGAACGAATGTTTTAGCTCGTTAGCCGGTATAGCCGTCAGTATGACGGTGCAAGCCTTTTGAATTGCGTCTACGCTGCGTAACGCTTTCCTTTCATGGGCAAATGCATTTTGCACGGTGCCGCAACAGGTGAATACGGGTAGTGGTTAATGGTTAAAATGTGATTTTCGGTCAAATAATCGTCCTTCGAATCTTGCATTTTGAGGAATTTTAGGTCGTCCGTCAATTTGTGCGGAACAAACCGTGCACACACCTTTCGTAAGCCCAAACGTTCGGTCAAAATGCGATAAATCGATGTTTCGGAGATGTTCAATTCCATTTCCATGAATTTCGATGATGATTTCGGCTGATTTTTTATGAATTCACGCACAGTTTCGAAGGAATTTCGCACCTTGTATGTTAGTTACAATGACTAAATGCCTTATGATCTTTAAAGTGCCTTCTATATCGAACTACTGCACTTTACGGTCATCCACAATTATTTTGTAGCATTTTTTGTTTTTTTTTTTTAATGTTTTCGTCGGTAATAATCTCGATTGGGTGTCCACTGCTTTCAACGTTTCCGATGCTCATTTCACCAATACCAATCTTTGATGATTGATTTTCCTCAGACAGTATTTAGAAACT